AGCAATTGTTCCCGACAACTGCCCTTCCCATCTGCCTCTCCTTTAAACTCCATCCCCAAGTGTGCCTTGTGAAGGGAATCAGGGCCCTTTCCTCCCTCGTAAGCTACACAACCCATGTTGCTCTCTTCTCCGTTTTTCCCTGTGTGCCCTAGGATGATGAGGGGATGGGCCTTGGTCTTTCTCTGAACCGCCTCTCCCTTGTTCTACCTCTCCCCCTGCTCTGCCCATCCTGACTCTGAAGGTGGGGGGGGGGGTGACACAAAGTCAGTGGAAGCTGGCAGGAAGTTCCAAGTCCCAGGTGGCTTGCAAGGAGGCTAGCAGGCAGGAACGTGGCTGCTGTCAGGAGAGAGGTACACGAGAGACTGGCAAGGCATGGTGTGAATGCAGCAGGCCTGAAGGTGTTTGTGAAAGTGTGCATTGGAGGGCAAAGTGTGGCAGGGCTGGGGGCAGTTGCTGCTGGTGAGGGAGAGCTTGCAGGGATGCAGGCAGCCCCAGACCTGTTGTGCAGCAAAAAGCCCCAAAGCCGTGGGGTTTTCCCATAGGTGTGGCTGGGTTGGCAAGCCCAGCGGAGGGGAAACAGAGGAAGACAAAGAAAAGCAGCTATGGGGGCCTCTGGGAGGAGGATTAGTTTGAATTTTTATCATATTAACAGTTGGGAGGGACCATGTAGGTCATCTAGTCTAATCCCCTGCTCAGGCAGGAGACCCTACACCATTTCTGACAAATGGCAGTCCAGTTTCCTCTTGAAAGCTTCCAGTGATGAAACTCCCACAACTTCTGAGGGCAAACTGTTCCATGGTTTGATTGTTCTCACTGTCAGAAAGTTTCTCCTTATTTCTAGGTTGAATCTCTCCTTGTTCAGCTTCCATCCATTATTCCTTGTCTGGCCTTTGGGTGCCTTGGAAAATAGGCCCTTCCTCTCTGTGGCAGCCTCTCAAATATTGGAAGACTGCTATCATGTCTCCCCTGGTTCTTCTCTTCACTAGACTAGCCAAGCCCAGTTCCTGCAACCGTTCTTCATATGTTTGAGTCTCCAGTCCCCTAATCATCCTGGTTGCTCTTTTCTGCACTTTTTCTAGAGTCTCAATATCTTTTTATAGTGTGGCGACCAAAACTGGATGCAGTATTCTAGGTGTGGCCTTACCAAGGCTTTATAGAGTGGTATTAGTACCTCACTTAATCTTGATTGTATCCTTCTGTTAATACAACTTAGGATTGCATTGGCTTTTTTGGCTGCTGCTGTACATTGCTGGCTCATATTTAATTGGTTGTCCACTAAGACTCCAAAATGCCTCTCACAGTTACTGCTGTTAAGGCTGGTTTCACCCAGGGGGTCTCTGAAATAGTCAAAAGTTCAAGGACTGGTTAAAAGACCATTTTTCACCACCATTGTAACTTCAAATGGTTGCTGAATGAGTGAACATTGAAGACTATCAGTAATACAAATGTCACACAGAACAGCAGACAATCTTTATGATTTTCTGCAGGACTTTCTCAGTCTAAGCCTAGGGTGTCCAATTTTGGCAACTTTTAAGACCAGGCATGCCAACTGTTGAATTCTGGAAGTTGAAAGTCCACAAATCTTAAAAAGTTGCCATGGTTGGATACCCTGGCTAAGCAAAGCAGGGAGGCTACATTCTGGAATCCTGATAGAAGTTCCCAAATGGTCTTTATAATTGTGATAGTTCAATTGGTATTATTCCATTCCCCCACCCAGGAACTCTGGACTGTAATGGTGACCATTTTGAAATCACAAATGGTTTCAGTTAACTCTCAACCTTATGAAGAATTCTGAGAACTAAATCTTGATTCACAATTTTGTTACTGTACATACTTAAAATTCTGTCACAGAATGTCAACAATTTTGAAAGGTGTTTTGGCTAAACAAGAGTTTTGAACCAATCAGCTCATTTCAAGAAGAGCCAAACAGTATGTTATGATTAGCTACATTGTAAATCGTTGTTTCCCAACCTTCACTATTTTAAGATATGTGGATTTCAACTCCCAACCTCTTAAAATGGCGAAAGAAAGCAATGAAGTTACACGACAAATGGCATCAGGCAAGACTCTAAATCCGGGATATGCAATATAGCACTATCCAAAACCACAGGAGGACAACAGATTACCAAGCCTTGCTGTCAACAGTAAAAGTTTGCTAAGCTCACATTGACATGTCAATAGATTCCAACCTTTGCAGCAAGTCAAATAATTCCATTACAAAAAAAGATGCCCACAGAGTTTAATTTATTGACTGCAGTTAATACACAGGGTGCAAGTAGCTGAACATATTTGAAGCGCTGGAGTTTTCTCCAGGCAAGCCATAATGCAGAGCAAAATAAAAATCCATTTTTCCTGCACTGGATCAGCTCTGACTTTCTGGACACAGGGGACTATAGGAAAGCAGTACCTATTGCAGTTTTGCTAAAAGGGAACTGAGCTATATCCAGGGTTGTACTGGGGGTGTGAATGTAAAATATGTGAAGATTGTGGCTGAGACTATATGGTCTAAACTGGTATATCAGTAGATGATGTTAATGGTGTGTATAGTTTTCTTTAAATTAATTCTGAGATCTAGATTGCTCCATAGCACCAATTTAGCAAGAGAAAAAAGGATCAAAATGTCATTTCCTAAAAAATAATATACCATGACCTTAAGTGTCCATGACCATGACTATAATCATGGTAGGATGCTCAACGTAGATATGACTGTTGATATAGGTCCAAAAACTATTTCTATGCAAAACCCTTTTCTTGCTTACCATTCTTGTTTCTGAAACTAATTTGGCAGTTGTGGCTAGGAGAGCCTTTGCACAACTTCACGTAGTGCGCCAATTGTACCCTTTTCTGCATTGTGAGGCCATGTGAGGCCATGTGCTCAGTCACTCACGTCCTGGTCATCTCCCACTTGGATTATTGCAACACGCTCTATATGGGATTATCCTTGAAAAGTATTTAGAAGGTACAATTGGTTCAGAATACAGTTCTGGGGGTTCCACATGTGTAAGCACTGTTAGACAAGCTGCACTGGGGACAGCAGAATAGAAGAGGAAGAACTGGAGAAGACAACAAAATTCAAAAACCTGCAAGTAGAAATAGAACAATTGTGGCAAAAGAAAGCAAAGGTAATACCAATAGCAATAGATGCCTTGGGTTCAATCTCAAAACAACTGGAGCACCACTTGAACACCATCAGCATTTACAAAATCACCATCACTCAAAGGCAGCTTTACTTTCAACAGTTTATATCCTACACCATCAAACATCTGCCTAACCCAGGTCTTTGGGAAGGACTGAATAGGTGGATAAAATGCTAAGCACAGTCTAAACATCTGGCTAATTGTGTGACCAATCATAATAATGTATTAAACTAGTATGGTGACTTCTGGGCAACTCATAGCAATCAAAGAAATGAATGTTGGCTTGGTGAACTTTGTGCCCGTGACCCTCTTTCAGCCCAATCCACCTCCCAGCTTGTAGTGGGAAAAATAGGAGGAAATAGTACATACATATTTTGCCACCTTGAGTTATTTTTAAAAATAAATGACAATAAAACAAATAAAAGATAAAAGATGACAAGTTGTGACAGACCAGATAGAATGAAGTCAGCGGTCTCGGTAACAGTTCTGATTTCCCAGTCTAATATACTTTTAATTTTTACAAGGTTGCTGAGCTTAGGTCAACCCCAGCATGAAATTAAAAGGCAAATTCAGTCAGCAGATTGGTACTGAAGATTTGGGTAAATCAGAATACAATTGATTTATTGTTAACAAAAAAATTACTAATTGTAAATATTAAGTATAAGGGATACAAGCTTTATTATAAATGATAATTATTACAGAAACACACATAGTAATTGTACATTGTTGAAATCAATACTATCACACTACAGTATATTATTAGGGTGGAGTTACACTTGAAACAATTGCTTCATTACTAACACTATTTTTAATATGAAGCAGTTAACAGCATGCAATCTGCCGTCTTGTTTTTAAAATCAACATACATCTTGTTTTAAATAGAACACTAAATATTATGTATTTATCTAAGTTATATTTGGAAATAAATGTTCTAAAAAGCATAGAACTGCGGTCATAACATTTTCAACAGTGTAAGGCAAAATGATCATATCCCAAAACTAAATAAAGGTCTAAATTGCGTCCCAATGACCTTGAGAGAAAAATACTGTACTTGGGCAGTGTTTTGTTTTTGTTTTAAATATGCTTGGGTTTATTTTCATTTTTCCCTAAGTCGACGATAGCCAGAGATGGGGCAAAACACTACTGTAGCGGCCCTTGTCGTTTTTATTAAACAGCAACGCTAAACAGCGACGGGAAAAGGTGATCCTGCCCGTCCTCAGAATCCATGGAGGACATGAAAGGAAAGACCTCCTTTCTGAGGCCTTCCTCTCCCTTGCCAAATCTCCGGCCTCTGCAGCAAGATTCCCTCATTGTGCAGCGAGAAACGGGTGGGACACGTACGTTCTCTCTGTACGCGCGCTCGCCTGCCAGGTCCTTCACCTCACAAACCAGGTGTGCAAAGGGTGTGTGTGTGTGGTGTGTGTGTTCATTCGTTGGCCATCCCGCAAAGGGTTTTTAAAACGCCCCAGGTGGGTGTGGGGGGGGGGGGGGCTGCAACCCCATCTCCGCTCCTTTTCTCCCTGCAGGGCGCTCTTCCCGTGGGAAGGAGCTGCAAAGGCCTTAGCAGGTCCACTCGGCTGCCTGGACTACAGTGGTCTTTCCCCGGCCAGCTCCTCCCCCACCCACCTTGTAGCCGCTTCAAGCTATGCACAGCCATGTTTTTCCCACCCTCCCACTCCTCATTGACTCTCTGGTCCTAAAGAAAAGAGGCCAGCGTAGCCTTTTCCAAGGACGGCCCGCGCGCGGGGCTTTCTGGGAGTGGTAGTCCTCTTTTTCCCTCCCCGCCGCTTGGAGGGGCTCGGGCAGAACTACGTTGCCCGAAGTAACCCCGCGGAGAAGACGCATGCGCAGAGGCGAGTTAGTGGAGAAAAAAAAAAAAAAAAGACCACCCTCGCCCTATTCAGCCTCCTTCCCCCTCCCCCCACCTTCTGCTCGGTTCTGGGTTCAGGGTGAGCCGTTGAGCTGAGGCCTGCGCGACGCCCGAGACTTGAGGATCGAAGAGGCGAAGAAGCAAGCCGAGCGCGGGAGAGCAGAGTCGGCCAGCCCCCGGGAGCCTCAGCCGAGCGGCCTGCATTGTTTTTCGTGAAAGTGGAAGCGCGGAGGGACGGGGACGGGCTACTCCCCCCTCCTCCTCCCCCCCCGCGACTCCGGAGCGACGAGTGAGTGGGGGAGGGGAAGAGTTCGGGGAGGGGAAGGCTCAGGGAACGAGCAGCTTCTTTCTCCTCACGCTCCCCCCCTCCTCACCCCCACATGGGGGGTACAAGCAGTGGGGGTGGGGTGCGAAGGGGAACTTCCTCAAACGTTTTTCCGTAGGCGCGTGAAGAGGGGGGGACACGAAAGGGCCCCTCCCTCGCGCGGTTGACGGGGGGGTGAGGCGCATGCGAGGAACTTAATTGGCTCTTTTACCTCACAACGGGCTCCGTGGGGGGGGGGG